AGCCAGGCTGCAGAAGGCGGTGGGATTTTTAGGCTGTTGCCCACTAACACAGCGCATCACGTTCACAGAGGCACCCAATATCATGCCAAAAAGCAAGTTATAGCCGAACTCGTGGATGTATTTCAAGCGAGCCCAAACATTTGCTCTGTTGGCTCAAAGGAACCGGTGGCCTAGATCTCACCACCCGGCTTCGCTCCTCACCCTCGCCACTGTCGCGTTAACTCACCGCTGGGGAAGGTGCCCAAGCACCGGCCCGAGAGCTGCCGTGCTTCAGCACAACAGCAGCAAGAGAGCTGGAGAAGTTGCCAGCTAGCCGCACAGAGGGCAACAGCTTCCAGGGACCGAAATCCGGGCGCGAGGGAATGGGCTCTGTTGTGTTACCCACACAACGTCTCACCGTAACAGGGCTGATAAATACGAGCAGGGATGGAAATGGAGGGGGTCAGGCTTCTAACAATCGAGGTATTTATTTATCTGTTTTAAACCAGAAGTGCTCTATATCGCTACACTAACGTAGCTTAAACAAGTCTAAGTGCTTCCAGGCAGCTGCTCTCCAGCCTCGGAGACTTCCTCGCTTCTCTTCCCTCCGCCTTCCCCCAGCATCCTTCCCCGGTGCTGGTGGCTCCCAGCTTTTGGGCACGGACAGCGAAGCCACCGGACTCCAAACAGGGAGACACCTCGGTGCTAGCAAGCGCCTCCCTCAAGCCCACTGTATGAAAGTAATTTCTTTCATCCAACACGCACAGATAAGAAGGAAAGGAATCTTATCCAGCCCAATTTAGCAGGGGAGAAAAGGCGATTCTCTCAGTCGCTGGAGCAAAGAGCTGAGAGAAAAGCCGGCTCTTACTGGCGGAGGAACGTTTGCACCGCTGCTTCGCAATCACATTTCGGCCGCGGGTTAGCAGGTACCTTCCTCCCCACCAAGAAACACCAGTGCGAGCGAGCGGCTGTAGCACGCCAGCCTAGCTCAAGTTTTGTGGGCTGCATTAACATCCACCAGCAAGTTTTCTTGCTTGGAGATGGCACCCTCCCTGGGAAAGGAACCGCTTCTACACATCTTCTCCTGGTCGCTTTGCTAAAGCAGAATTTACAAAACTTCTGCCAAGGAAGACTGCAGAATCATGCAAAGACACGGGGAAGGGCATGCAAAGCAGCGCTGCGGTAAAAAACGCTGATGATGCACAACCACAGAGATTTGACACAGGAGCCCAAAGCCCAATTACATAAATGCTTAGCTTATAACAGACTCCAGCATTCGCTGGGGACGAGGACAAGTGCTCCGCGCACAGAGGCGGGCCACGTCCGTGGACAAAAAACCCGCAGCGGCACACGATCCGAAACACATGTACTTCCCTCCTAGCGCCAAACCCCAAGTGCCATGCTAAATGGTGGTCTGTTTGGAGAAAAAGGAGAAGAAAAAAAAGGATCCTTAGGATCTTTAAGGGAACAATCTGAAGCACATGAAAATTAAGCTTCATATTTTATGATAAAAATCCTTGCCAGGGGAATAACTGCCCCGCATGTAAGCAGAACACAGCAGAATCCCCAAAAGGCACCGAGCACAATAAGCTGTTTCTTTCATTTGAAACCCTTAATTCAGAGCACAGGAACGATTCCAGACTTCTAAGTCACTGAGCATGCTTCCTACAGCAAGAACAGAAGCTGAAAGGCAGCCAGGTCTGGCACTCGGCACCAGAAGCTGCTGGCAGGGACGGGGTTAGAGCCGAGACACGAGGTGAAACGGCAGAAGCAGACCCCGCTCCGTGAGGCTGCCAAGCACTAACCGGCGGTGATCAACAGGGTGACGAGCCGCTGCTGTCCTGGTCTAGGCTGGCAGCCTCCCGGGCTGCAGCTCATCCTCTGCGGAGGAGCAGACAGGCGAGAAGCACATGCTTCATGAGCTACGGTTCTGGCAGATCTGCACCGTGCAGTTTCAAGGACAACGCTCAGGAGCGGACCGGGAAAGTCAAGAGAGCCAGAGCGCTCACTACACACTTTTCACCAAGGATTTTCCCTGCAAGGACGAGCTTTCGTAAAGCTTAAACCAATAGACATAAAAAACCTAGGAGAAGCTTCCTCAAAGAGCGAAGCCAAGATGTCTACCAAGAGACGTGAGTCATTTTCAGGCACAGATACGTAAATGAGAATCCACAGATCTGGAGTATTCCTGAGCTCCTTCCTCATTTCCCAGCTCTGTATTTGCTCTAAGGATACCTCATTTCCCAGCTTGATTGTACGGCTTGAGTTGACACTCTTGGCCAAGTCCAAGGTGAGTGGAGCATCTGACGGCCTATAGCTTGGTCAGTAGGGCCAGGCGAAGCAGAAGAACTGAATCACTCCGGTTTCCTCTCTGATCACACAGGGCAGGGAGAAGCGGGTGGCCATCTCACCCGCCCCACGCTTGCCACGCTGTGTGCTTTACGCCCGGTGCCCTGAAGCTCCACGCCCACAAGGCACACAGTGCCTGAACAGCACAGGAACGCCAACGCCAGCCAGAAGATGTCTTCTTGGGAAGGATCCTACTGTGAGTTCGGCCAGATGGGTGGCCCTTGAGCAAACCTAAACCCATCCTCAAAAGCTATGAGGAGAGACCTGGCATTTCTGAAGAGGTTTCTTCAATCTGTTTTCATGCCATTCAAACGCCTCCAGCAACTGATGTAATGTAAAAGGTAAAAGTCTCCTGAAAAAGCCTGGGGAAACCACCTCGTGCTCCGGTTTCAGGAAATTCAGAGCTTCCTCACAAACGTGCGAGGGTGGAAGTAGGAAATCCCCTCCGTGCCCGCCGCAGAAGGGAGAGTGCAGGGAATTCCAGGGGTGGGGGCTCGCGTTTCACCTGGGGCTTTGCGGAGGGGCTCCGTTCGGGTTCTTTCAGAGGATGGCTCCTTGGTTTCTTTCAGAGGATTGCTTTTTCTCCAGAGGGGAGGAGCGGTTTAAAGGCTTTCCAGAACAGACCGAGTTGCGTTCTCCATTCCTGCCTTTCCCAGCTGGCGAATACTCCCCCTTCCCTTGAAGGATGATTCAGGATTTCAAGAGAAGAAAAGGCTGGCTGAAGTCCTCTGGTCCCATCAGCCAGGCTGACTTCATCTAACACTCGGTCGCAGGGAAACAGCCACAATGGATTCAGCCCTGCTAAGTGCAGGCTTTCCTTCCTCTGGGCAAGTCCGCCCTGCCTAAGCCTCCCGGCCAGGAAAGAGCCCCTGCAACCGCACGCCCTCCTCCTCCCGGATCCTGCTCCGTCCCCCGAGCCGCTGGCGCAGGCGACGCACACGAGCTTGCAGCTTCTGGTTGCGGTTCTCCCTGCTCGCAGTAACTCGCTGCTGCCATCGCAAAACCATCTCGCCCCAGGAGAAAGCGCCAAGGAAGTACAGGCAAATAGGTTTCTCGCTCCACGCGAAGGGAGCACCGATGTTTACGGCACCACTAGATCTACACCTCCGTAATATTACTGATGCAAAAAGACCCATTTTCAGGCAGTCTCATGAAACGCCGAAAAAACCCCAAACCCTAAATCAATTGCGTTCCTTCACGCTTCCCAATACCATATAAAATACAGAGAGAGAGCGTGAGACTAAACCTCATTAAATAAAGCACAAATTCAGCTACAATTAGAAGTGGAAGAAAACCATGATCGAATTTCTGCAACAATGAAATACTATAAAAAAGGAGTCTGCAAAATTAACTATTCTTTTATCAGAAGTTAATGAAGCTTACAGGCAGCAGGATTTGTGCCAAGCCTGGAGCATACGTGCTGCTACCAATTAACAAAATGTTCCCTCCATTTCTAAACATCTAATGGGTTTTTTTTCCTTCTTGGATCCAAGCAGAACTCACGCTAGTGATTTGAGGAAGAATTTGTTATTTGGAAGAAATGTTAAGCTGCTAAAAACAACCGTTGGTAAAGAGAGAGCAAGGTGTTCACACCAATGCCTGCAAGGCACCACGGAACTCCTGCTCTTCAGAGCCAGGCGGCTTGTCCGGTTTACTTCCAGGTTTTTCTTCTCCTGGTGAGCTCAACGCCACTCTGTATTTTTTTTCTTTTATTCTAAAGCCGTGCCGGGTATGTGTGCATGCCAGGCAAAAGCCTTGCGAGAAGGAGCGGGAACTTAACTACCAATTAGCCTGAAAGCAAAAGGGGTAGTTGAGGAGCTAAAGGAGAGGTACTGAAACTCTGGAAGGCCAAAAGGGCACCAGCAGTTATGACCCATATCAACACGTCCCCTGCATCACACGGGAAGTCAAGAGGGCCAGAAACTACATTTCAGGCCACAGCAGCAAGCTGCGTTCACTGCAGCCCAAGAGGCTCACGGATGCGAGCTCCCAGGTGGCCCCAGCAAGCCCGGGCTGGCCCTGCGGCCCCAAGCACCAACCATTTTCTGCAGCCCAGCATAGGGAGCCTTTGCGTTTCTCAGCTATCAAAACCATAGGGTTCTCCTGAAGTTCTCAAAGCATAAAGAAAATTCAAAGTTCCTATTTTGCACTCAGAGATCAGGTTTTAAAATCCAGTAGCCCCCAGAGCTAGAAGGTCATGCCAAGGATGAGAGGCTCCTAAGCGAGGCACAAGTCTTGGTACCGGAGAGAATACCTGCTTGCAGGACTTAGCTGATAAACAGGATGGCCATATACATTCTAAGTGCAGCTGATACTCGTACAGATGTCCTTGAATCATCAGTCCTGCCCTGCCAACGAGCGGGGATGCCAACTGCTGGGTGCCCA